CACACACACAATTTTCGTGCACCAGGTCTCTAGTTACGTATAAAAGCCTGGTACTCATCCAAGAAGAACTTAGAAAGTAGAAGGTATCAGGCTCCTGAGGGGAGCCAATGTAATTATTGTTTACTGCATTTGGCTTTAACTTTTCGGGCTGCTAAGACTAACAAGGAACTGCTCCTTTGTCTGTATAGCATTGAATTACATAATATTCATTGTCTGTGGAAAGAAAGCCTGCCCATTTGTTTATACAAACAGACTGTTTTCTTGCATTATACTTAATGAAAAAGACTTTCTGTAGGTTCTGCTATTGTGTGACATAGTGGGTTATGTTTTCACAGAAGACATAGAAATTATTCTGTTGAAGTGCTCTTGTAGTGAGGATTCATAAAGACCAAGGGCATATAGTTAAACTCCTACAAGGCAAGCATGTTGTGTGGCAAAAATTGAGAACAGTATGATCCAGACTCAATACTCTGTGTAGAGAGGACTCTGAGAGTCCATGAGGAAGGAAAGTGGATGTGTCTAGTCAGCTGCCTCTTTGTTATTTAACTACTCCTTTGGACTTTAATTTGCTCTAATAGAAAATTATCACTATCTGGAATTCTGAGGTTCTAAACAGCTGAGACATTTATTTACCACAGATTAAGGAAAATGAAGTCATATTCTGTACAGCATAAGATAAGTTGGCAGGAGATGCACACATTCAAGCCATAAAGCACTAATGAATCTTTGACTCTCTAATATCTTAGTATGAATTTATTTAGTGATTCCAGGCCATTTGTGTGTTAGTTAAGGAACAATTACTTTTTAGATACATGTTAAGAGGGAGACAAAGTAATCTTCCACTCAACCTCATTGTCCCATAGGTGTGGGCTTCTACACACAGAACTAATGTTGTCCTTAGAAAAGCGATTGCAGATCTTTAGCATTTGTATGAGTAGTGATTATGACCTTAAAGGTCTATACCATCTAAAATGGAAAAGAAGGTATTGAGATGTAAAGATGTTTTCCATCCTCCCTGTTAATCTGCATTTCTTGGTTCTGAAATTAAGTTGTTTGAAGACAGTTGTCTTTTGATTTTGTTGCTTATGCAAAGCATTAGGGTGGCCTGTTATAACTGTTTGTTATCTTAAGCACAAAGGCTTCACCATGTTGGAATGAGCACTGTTTGCTTCACAACCTGGTGGGAAATGGGTCAGGAGATGTAACTAGTACTCTCACCCTTTACCACCTCTGCAAATCAGCCTTGTGGATGATCCAGACCAAAATACAGGGCTATGAATGAAGGATTCCACAATCAGGCTAATTCTAGGTAACACTCACTGAACTGTAAACATCTTGAGAGTATTAAAGTCAGCCTCAGTAAGGCATGTTATAGATGGTAAGGTTCTCTTCTTACACCGTCTCTCTCACACACTCACGCTTCTCCCTAATTTTGTGACTAACTTGTCCCTCTAGTCAACATTACAGTCAATAGATGCCATTCTCTGAATTTTGTGGTTTCTATCCTCCTATATAGTAAAAGGGTAATATACAAATTGACCGGATGGCAGAATGACCAGTTGCTATGATGCACACTGACCACCAGGGGGCAGATGCTCAATGCAGGAGCTGCCCCTTGGTGGTCAGTGTGCTCCCACAGGGGGAGCACCACTCAGCCAGAAGCCCAGAAGCTGGGCTCACGGCTTGCAAGTGCAGTGGCGGTGGCAAGAGCCTTTCCCACCTCTGCAGCAATGCTAAGGATGTCCGACTGATGGCTTAGGCCTGCTCCCCCGGGCCTAAGCCGTCAGTCGGACATCCCCTGAGGGCTCCCGGACTGTGAGAGGGTGCAGGCCAGGTTGAGGACCTTCCCCCTCCCTCCCCCAAGTGCACAAATCTCATGCAGCGGGCCTCTAGTATATCTATATATATAAAGCCTAAGTGACCATTATGACTAGTTGACCAGTTGCTATGATGTGCACTGACCACCAAGGGGCAGGTGCTCAATGCAGGAGCTGCCCCCTGATGGTCAGTGGGCTCCCACAGCCAGCCTCCTGCGGCCGGCCAACCTCCCAAGGTCCCTCCCCAGGGCTGGCCTGCCAACCTCCTGCAGTTTCTCCCCCCAGCTGGTGGCCAGCCTTCCACAGTCCCTCTTCCTGGCTGGCCAGCCACCCCAAACGGCCCCGATCGCCTGCCAGGCCGAGGACCCCCCACCTGTGCACGAATTCTTGCACTGAGCCTCTAGTACAGTGGTTCACAACTTTCCTAATGCTGTCACCTTTTAATACAGTTCCTCATGTTGTGGTGACCCCCAACCATAAAATTATTTTTGTTGCTACTTCATAACTGTAATTTTGCTACTGTTATGAATCGTAATGTAAATATTTGATATGCAGGATGTATTTTCATGGTTACAAATTGAACATAATTCTTGGCAGTGGCGGTTATCAGGTGACACACGCCAGAACCAGAGAGGAAGGAGCCCTGTTTCTCACAGGGCCGTGTGATTCCACCTTCGGCTGTGGGTTTTGTTGTTGCTGGGGCACTGTCAGTCCTGAATCTGGTTTATTGCACACTTGCATTTGCGTTCCACACCCTATATGACAGCAACTTTGCGGAGTGCCCTCTCGCACTCTGAGACCCCTCGGGGGATGTTGGAGAGCCGGTTTTGGCCCGATCCCTGTAGGCCACGCTGAGGGACCTCACCTGCCAGAGGGTTCCCGCTCACTCTGCAGAAGCCCTTCGAGTGGCCGGGCAGGGAGAAACCTCGGAAGGTTGGCTCCAGGGCATGTCCAGCCCGTCTCACCCAGTCCGGCCCCCATTGGCCACCTTCTAATTAATTTTCTTTCAATGTGAACGAATCTATGCACCGGGTCACTAATAAACCATAATAGTTTGTCTAAGATAATGAACATAAATGCATTTAAGGAGTCCATGGAATTGGGAATGTCTGATTCAGGAACTGTGGCCATCTTCCTCCTCCCCAGTAGAATAGGTAACTTTCCCACCTGAAACCAGTTGAGTTTAAGTTACCAACATGATGCTCTGTCACTCCTGAGTACTTCAGTATATTTTGCCTACAATCAAGTACATTTCTCCTTTGTAATCACAATACAACCATCAAGATCAGGAAGTTAGCATTGATATATTTCTACCATTTAATCCTCTGACTCTATTCAGGTTTTGCCAGTTGCCTAATATTGTCCTTGATATGAAACAGAACCTTTGGAAAGTCTCGTTACTTTTTTGTTTGTTTCTTTAATCAGTTCCTAAGTCTTTTCTTGACTGTCACAACTGACATTTTTGAACAGTGTAGGCCAAGTTATTATTTTGTATAATGTTTCTCAATTTGGTATATAAAAAACTCTTTTCAGGTAGTGTATGGTTTTGATTTATACTATTACAGTTGATTTCGGTCGCTTGTTTAAGATGGTGTCTGCTGGATCGCTCCATCCCAAAGTTAATCCTTCCCCTGGTAATTAATGAGAATTTTGCTGGGAGTTATTTTAAAATTATGTAAATATCCTCTCATCAACAAGTTTACTTCCTTCTTCCTCTTCTTTTTCTTCCTCTATCCCAGCAGTTCTCAACCTGTGGGACACGACCCCTTTGGGCAGGGGTCCTCAAACTATGGCCTGTGGGCCACATGCAAATACAAATATTGTATTTGTTCCCGTTTTGTTTTTTTCCTTCAAAATAAGATATGTGCAGTGTGCATAGGAATTTGTTCGTAGTGTGTTTTTTTAAACTATAGTCTGGCCCTCCAATGGTCTGAGGGACAGTGAACTGGCCCCTTGTTTAAAAAGTTTGAGGACCCCTGCCTTTGGGGGTTGAACGACCCTTTCAAAGGGGTCACCTAAGGCCATCGGAAAACACATATATAAATACATATTGTTTTTGTGATTAATCACTATGCTTTAATTATGTTCAATTTGTAACAATGAAATTGGGGGTCACCACAACATGAGGAACTGTATTAAAGGGTCATGGCATTAGGAAGGTTGAGAACCACTGATCTATCCCATCCTTCTGGCCCATCTTTCTGTCTTTCTGTCTATCTCAGATGGACTCTTTCATGGATTGCCT